TAGAAATCAACAGCAGAAGAAAATCTAGAAAATCCTCACATAGTCAGAAACTAAACCACATGTTTCTAAATAACTGATGGGTCAAAGAAAAAATCACCAGGGAAATTATAAAATATCTTCCACTAAATAAGCATAAAATCACAACATATAAAAATTAACATAATGTAGGCAAAGCAGTATGTAGAAGGAAATCTACAGTTTTAAAAGATTACAAAGAAAGATTTAAAAATCATTAATTAAAAACATAATAACTAAGCTTCTACCTTAAACTAAAAAAAAAAAAAAAAAGAGCCAAAGTAAGCAGAAGGGAATAATGAAAGTCACAGCTGAAAACAGTAAAAAGAAAACAGCAAAACAATACATAAAACCAATGAAACTTTCTAGTTGATTAATTTTTGAAAATATCTGAAATAAGTAAAAATTTTAGTAGAGTAACCAATAAAGTAAGAGATGACAAATTTTCAACATTAGGAATAAAAACAGTAACATTCTGAACCCTTCAGAAAGGAAAACAATTATAAAGGAATATTATATCAGCAATTTGACAATTTAGATGAAACAGGCAAATTTATAGATAGAAATGATAAAAGTGGATTCATAAAAAATATAAAATCAGAATAGTTCTATATCAAGTAAAGGTACTAATATTTAATTAAGTTATTTAAAAGCTCTTTCTACAAAGGAAAATCCAGGTCTAGATGACTTGCCTGGTGAATTCTATTAATATTTAATGAATTAACAAGATCAATCCAAAAAAAGTCTTTTTGAAAGTAGAAGGAGACATGTTCTTGTTCATTTTATACTGCTGCCAACACCTTATACAAAAAATATTCAAAGAAACTATAGACAGTACCTTTCATAAATATAAATGCTAAAATTCTTTTAGTGAATAGAGAAAGCAGATAGGGAAGGTAAGAGGGGAGAAAAAGCAAAAGTACTGAAGGATGAGATTGAATTATGTTATATGCATGTATGAATATGGCATATTCAGTAATATATAAAATGAATTACACTCATAACAACTTATAACCAAGTGGATTATTTCCCCTCTCCCAAGAAGAATTCATATTAGCTTATCATCTGAATAGTAATATAATACATTTACTTACTAATAGAATGACTTATAAACTAAATTAGGCATGCCTTTTGTATAGTTTTATTAGAATACTGCAATGCATACTCATTTATAGACCTTCTATGATTGCTTTCATCCTTCAAATGCAGAGTTGATTGGTTACAACAGAGATCAGATAACTTAAATTCAGAGTAAAAAATATTTACTATACAGCTTTTTAGAAAAAATTTTGCTGACCCCTAGAACAAAGGAGAAAGATATATGATCATATCAGTAGATGTGAAAGAATTTGATAAAGTCAAACTTCATGATAAAGCTCTCAATGAAGCAGGAATAGAAGGAAACTTCCTTAACCTGATGAAAGGTAGCTATATACACCTACAACTAACAACTTAAGCTTAAAGGTGAATGATTGAATGTTTTCTCCCTAAAATTGGGTACAAGGCAAGGATGTTTACTCTCATCAGTTTTGTTCAACATTAGACTGGAAGTTCAAGCTAGTGCTATAAGGCAAGAAAATAAAAATCAAAAATCAATATATCCCAGCAATTCAGGAGGCTGAGGCAGGAAGATCACAAAGTTTGAGGCCAGCCTCAGCAATTCAGTGAGACCATCAGTGAGACTTAATGAGACCCTGTCTCAAAATTAAAAATAAAAAGGGCTGGGTATAACTCAGTAGGTAAAGTGTACCTGAGGTCAATCCCCAATACCTACCCCTCAAATCAATATAAAATAAATAAGAAATGAAAATAAGCAAATAATTACATTTGTAAGAGCATCCAAAATAATTAAGAATAAAATAATATATTTAATGAAAGCAAGTGTGGAAATGTACACTGAAAATTATCAAACATTGTCAATAAAATAAAGAACTTGGGCTGGGGATGTGGCTCAAGCGGTAGCACCACATAAAAATAAAATAAAAAAGATGTTGTGTCCACCAAAAATTAAAAAATAAATATTAAAAAATTCTCTCTCTCTCTCTCTTTTAAAAAAATAAAGAACTAAATAAATGAAGACAGGTTCCACTTTTGCAAATCAGAAAATTCAATATTTTTCAGTTGACAGCTTCCCTAAAATTGATCCACAGATTCAATACGATTCCTATTTAAATACCAGACTTTTCTAAATTGATAAAATAATCCTAATGTTTACATTTTAAATGTTAAGGACTGAGAAAAGCCAATGCAATTTTTTTAAAGCTTATCTTTTTTTATACCTTTATTTCACTTATTTACTTATTTTATGTGGTACTGAGGATTGAACCCAGGGCCTCCCACATGCGAGGTGAGCGCTCTACCGCTGAGCCACAACCCCAGCCCAAGCCAATGTAATTTTGAAAACAAAGTTCACGAACTTAAATAACCTAATTTCAAAATTTACCATAAAGCTACAGTAATAAAGACTGTGGTACTGGAATAAAGATAGGCATATAGAAGGAAGGAACAGAATAGAGTTCAGAAATCAATCCATGCATACATTGTCAACCTATTTTCAGCAAATCAGATTGGAATATAAACTACAACATTGCAGAAAATCCAAAGTAACTGGATTTTTTTGCCTCTCTTGTCAACCTCTGCTTATGCCCACAACCTATTCTTTCATTTAAACTTTATTCGGGTAGTTCTCAAAGTGCCATAGGGACTGACACTTTCAGAGAGTTTGCTAGATTGACTATTCACATAATAGTTCTGATAATATTTGTTATTTTTTCTTCATTATCTCATGAGTGTACAATAAAGTTTCCCAAAGCCTAAATGATCTATGATGGGAATCATAAGAAAATGAATGCAGAAGATGTGGGAATCCAACTATTTTTAAAAGCCATACATTAGATCCACAATGCTATTCTGTGAAAAATTGGACTTTTCCCCTCATGAAAATGTGTTATGTTAACACGTAAAGGTTTGATATTTTAAATGAGCTGCTAACTTTAATTTTTTTCCTTTCATAATATGGTAATATTGACAGATAAAATCCACACCAAAAAAAAAAATTGGGGATTTTCAACAGTTTATATGGGTGTAAAGGGTTCCTGAGATTAAAATGCTCAAAAAACCCATTGCCCTTGTCTGCCTGTAGGTGTTAAAAACTTCTGCTCACCATATTTAACAATAGAGGACTATAGAGAATTAGAGTTGGTCTTCTTTGAGAAATATCATGGTTGCAAAAATCATCTACTGCAAAATAAATCTGTAGCTTTTAGTTGAGAAATGTAGCAAATGTTAATGCCAGATTTCTCTTTCTCTTGATGTGTAATGGAAATATAAATGCAATCCTAAAAAAAAAAAAAGAAGGAATAAACATAGAAATGACCTGAAATAGTGCCCATAGAAAAAGGAAGACCTTAATAAAGGAAGTTCTCATTTGTTCATCGAGTATTTACTGAATGCTTACTGTATTCCAGGCTTAATGGTAATCACTGAGGATTCAATGCTGCACAAAAGATGAGCAGTTCTGCCCTAAGGAAGTTTTATAGCCAAGTGGGGGAGGCAGTACAGACACATAAAGAAATATATAATTACCAATTGTGATAAGCCCTTTAAAGGAAGTGATGGAGGTATGAGTACATAAAGGAGATTAGACTGATTTTCAGTCTCAGAGCTACCAAGATACCAAGGGAGGAACAGCATCCTGGGTATGTAAAAAGGACCTGTGGTATGTAAGAATGATAAGGGGGCAGGGGAGGATATAGCTGAAGCACATGGAGCTGGAGTGATGAACAATAATAGGAGGTAAAGCCCAAGACATTTGGACACTTAAAAGGTTTTGCCAAGGAATTTGGACCTTTACATCACGTGGACAGTGGGAAGCTACAGATAGGGAAATGATGTGACTGACTAGATTTGTATTTTTAAAAGATTTTGGCAGCTGTAGTGGGACAAGAGTGAAAAGCAAG